ACCCCCAACGCCTTCAAAATGCCCGAAGGGGGGGGCCTGCAGCTTACCTCCCGCCTACCGGAGCCGGTAAGCTGGTCGCTTGTGCTAGAGGGGAGAGAGCGCCGGCCCGAGAGCGTGACGCTGGCTTTGCAGCGCTGCAGAAGTGGTGCTTGCTTACGCTTCACCGGCAGTGCTGGCTGACAGTCCGCAGGCGAACAGCAGTAAAAGCTAGGATTAAGGCACAGGTGATGTGTTGGTCTCCGTATTCTCACCGTCTGAACTCAAATTTTGCTGCAAACCGTTCACTTGAAGTCCATTAGATCAAAAAAACCCTAGCTAACGCAAAATTTACGGTGGGCTTTCTGGGATATCCATCACAGACCATTTTGTTATGGAACCAATACTAACATACCTGCTTTAATCTCATCATTTCGGCTCCGAACTGAATCCTGATGGGATCATCTTGGTAATCACGCATTCCTATTCTGACAACATGCCACCCTAAACGGTCTCCCTCTTGTTATCTACTGAGTCTCATAAAGTAACAGACCAAAGATGAGCAACTAACAAAATCTTACAGTAGTCTCTTTTTTTATTGGTATGATGATGAACTGATAGTAGAATGCTAAATAGGTTTTGTCTGGTGTTGTTTTGGGTTTTTTTTTTACTTTCCCTTAATATTATTTATTCTTAATTCCTGATTTAACTGAAATAACTGCCTCAGTAGCATCACTGACCAGTGCATTCACGCTTTTATTTTCAGTCTTTCATAATTAAATTCTTATCCCAGTTAATAATGCCCATAATTCATACCTACTTTTGAATGGAATATTTCAATGAAGTGGAAGGAAAGAAGCTTAGCTCTGTCTGAGTCTTGCAGTGAATACGCAGTATCTGTCTAGTATCGTGTATGTACATTCTTAAAGCTTGCTTGGAGGATGTTACACTGTTGAAAAGGGTTATGCATTGATTTTTGTCCTCTGATTGCTTTTTGTTTCACAGAGACATGCTTCCAGAGCAGGAGGGCCTTGTACTGGAGTCAGCGATGCTGATAAGGTTCTACTGATTTTTTCCATAGTTAAATTTGGCTCTAACTCTTCCAATCCATTGTCATTCTTTCTTTCCTTCCTTTTTCAGTTAACCATCACAACCATCTTTTGTCTTCTACATGACATGAACCAGCCATCAGCTAATTTTGTTTCCATCATTTTAATTTATTCATATACTCTACTTTTGTTTTCCCTCATCCATGTTTTTTGTGCAGAGTTCACATGAGACTCTGGACATAGTGGAGGAGAAGAAGCAGGCAGAGGTTGGGATAGAAGAAACACTAGTCGTAGACGAAACCAACAGAGGGAAAATGCAAGTTGCCACTGATGCTGGGGAAACATGTAAGGTGGAGCATCTGTCAAAAAAGGACTCTTCATCATTGCCATCAGATAGTAGCAGCAGCAGCAGTAGTAGTGAGAGTGAGGATGAAGAGGTGGGAGAATACCAGCCACGTCATAGGGCAATTGAGGAAGTCATCAGGGAAGAACAGGAAGAAGAGGAAGACGTGAAAAGGAAAGAACATGAAGAAAAAATACAGCATGTGGAAGCCACGCCAGAAGGCAGTAAACCAAATGTACCAGTTGAGCACACACAAGTTACAGCTGAAGATTTGGTCCAGGAAAATGCAGTTACCATAGCTACAGAAGAGCAGAATTTGTCAGAGGAAATTAAGCAAGATTTAGGTGAAGAAAAAGAGGAAGAACAGCTCAAACTCAATGGAGATGTGTCTCATGTTGACATTGATGTTGCACCACAAATAATTTGTTGTTCTGAGGTAAATGGTAGAACAGTTTGACAACTAGACTAAGCAGAGGTGTTTCTTGGGGTGAAAACATACCTGCCTTTCTTCTTCTCCTATTCCTTCAGCTCTTCAGTCATCCAACAAGATTCAGATAATTTGGAAGGGGAAACCATTGATGAGCAGTGAAATTCTGTCTCCTTCAGTTATGGTTTCTGACTTTTTGCTAGAGCTGAGTGAGAATCACCAGTAAGGCAAACCTTCCGAAGACTGCCATCTTCTTTTATCTCCCCCTTATTTTATATGCACATACATAATGTATATTTATTATTTATGTGTTTCCGGTGTTTTAAGTCTTGTCTTGTCTATTTGTCAATTGTTTTTGACACGTCCATGACATGTAGTTGTGTTTGGAAAACTATTGGCAAGTGAAATTAGGAAACACCTGTCACACATTTTTTTTCCCCTCATAACTCACTGAGGTTTTTGCCTTTTTCCTTTTATAAATTTTATGCATTTATAGACTAGGATAAGTATAGCTAGAAATTGCATAGGTGAGAGGACTGCACTGTAAAGGGATGAGGTATATATCACGATCTTACTATGAAGCCTTCTGGTGCAGTAGATATTTAGGAAAGCATGCATGGGTTCCAGTCACAATCAGTTGTTTTAAGCCAAACGAGATTGAAGGGTTCATCACTGGGCAAATTTTATTAAGAAGCAGAAAGGGGAAAAAATGAAGTGCAGGGATGCATCTCTTTGTGAAGTTGGCATGTTCTTCTGCTGAGTTTTTCAACAATTGGACGGGTTTTTTCCTAGTTGTCTACCTGCTTGTTCTCATAATGATGGCAATTTTTTTTTTCTTTGCACTTAAATCCAAACAACTTACCTTCTTTCTTTTGTTGTCTTTTGCATATACAGGTGTTCTGATTAACAATGTGAAAGAATTAGTATATAAGACCTTTAGAAGTTGCAGGCACCCACACTTCCTAAAAATATAGCTAGTTTCGAGCACGAAAGGCTGCTGTGTGTGCAGGAAAGAAAGGATTTTTTTTTTTTTTTTTTTTTTTTTCCTGGGATTCCCCCCTCCATGTGCATCCAAAATCAATGGGAGTTAGCAACTGGTGCATCTAGAAAAAAATCAAAAGGCTTTACTTTTTTTTTTTAAGTTCTTAAATATATTGAAAATCAGCTCCAATAAGTCACGAGTTCACTGGTTTACAGACCCTGGTTAATTGCTTTCTTTGTGATATTGCAGAGAACACCAATAGCTAACTCTAAATTGTTAAAATGGCTTTTTAGGATTGTTATCAAAAGAAGCCATTTATTTCCGGAATTATTACATTGAATGTAGAAAGCTTAAAATCCAGTTGTTAAAGTTGTTATTCTGTTCCAGAAGTAGTACATATTAAAAAGTGAAACTTTTACGTAATTTTCTTGGAATTTCTAATCCTTATTTGCAGTTTGATTGAGCAATGATAGATACTTTCCCAGATTAATTCTGATATGAAGCTTATCCATCTGAGCTAGCTATCAGCTTCTTTATGCAAACTAAGGTTTTTTTCTTTTTTTTTTTTTTTTCCTGGTGATGCTCTTTTACACATTTTCAATGCCTGTGTTGCAACTTGGTTTTAGCAGTTGCCTTCTGTGATATGTACTGTTGGCTGAAACACACAACTTTGGCAAGGTTATTAGGAGATTAAATTTTCTTACCATGTTATGCAGATACTAGAGGGCTGGTGTATTAGTCTTCATTTCACTTTGCTTATTTATATGGCATGCTTTTTGTTTGGGAAGACAGTCAAATACCTATCTTAATGTTATGCTTTTCTTTAGTTTTTGGTTTAGTTCTTGGTCCACTTTACAAACCTTCTTCTGTCTTTTGAATTGATTGGTTATTTCTTGCACCACAGCCTCCTGTAGTGAAAACAGAGATGGTAACCATTTCAGATGCCACACAAAGAACTGAAATATCCACTAAAGAAGTTCCAATTGTTCAAACAGAAACTAAAACTATCACATATGAATCTCCACAGGTATGGTGGCTGGGTTATTATAGTGTTTTTAAGCCAGTTTTTATTCCAGTTACTTGTAGATCAAAATAGATAATGTCCAAAAAATGCTTTTTAAAAACCTATACCTTTTTCTAGCAGCTAAGATTATACTTTGGCTATGAATTAGGAAGGCAAATGTGTGTAGACAAAGCAGTGTTACTCCTAAAGTTCTAAGTGGTTTGGTTTCGGTTTGGGGTTGGGTTTTTTTTTTTTTTTCGTAACGGCTTAGTTGCTGTCTGCAAATGTACAACTCATTTTTAGTTTTGTAAACTTGATTAAAATATCTCATTGCTCCTGAAAGGAATGTTTAGCTTTGATTGTAAATTTCCCACAAGAATGAACTATTACAATAGTCTTACATGACTTGGTAAACTTGGATGGCTTCTGTTTAGATTTCAGTTCTGACTGAACTAAAGAATGTGTTTAGTAAGAAAACCATCCTTTTCTCCTGTGAAAACAAAGCTTTTAAATGCCAAAATACAAAAATACCTTTTTTTTCCTTACAGTTTGATGGCAGTGCTGCTGGCAATGCTGGTGTGCTGCTGAGTGCACAGACAATTACATCAGAGTCAATTTCTACTACCACAACTACACACATCACAAAGGTAAAATATAATAGTATCTCTCCGAACTAAAAAAAAAAAAAAAAAGAAAAAGAAAAAACCCCATACCCTCAAAATAAAGTCTTACATGAAGTTTCTCATATGTCTGCTAATTTACTGAAGCAAGCTGACTTGAAATGGGTTGGATTCATTCCAGGCGTGTGTGAGGGTTGATCTTTCTGTACACAGATTTTGCATGGAGAAGCCCTAATGCATAAGCAGGAATATCTGGGAACAGGACAGGGGAAGGGAGAAAAATAAGATTAAGGTTTTTTAGTACTCCATATAGGTCTTATTTCTGTGTTTGACAAATGAGTATATACCTGAATTTTTACAGTTTCAGTCCTGTCATCACTCCCTGATATCTTACAGAATCTTTGTTAATGTAACTGATTTGTCTGAGGTCTGCAGGAGCTCTGCTAATGGCATCTGTTATAAGGATGAACTGAAGCAATGTTTTCTCAGCCTTAGAGTTGATGATCCTTGTGCTGCTAGGTTTAGAGCGTATTTAAAAACAGACCATACCACTAGATTACTTTGCAAGCATATTTTGGTGCCGAATTATGTGCTCTGCATTCCATGCTTGAAAAGGAAAAGAAGACTCAACAGGACATCACAACTGTTTCAGTCTCATGTAATGTTTCATGCCAGAGTATGTTAGAACTACCAAAGTGTGGTGGTGGTAGTGGTGGTGATGATGATTATTGTTGTTGTTGTTGTTGTTCATTTATGTAAGTATTTATCAAATTCTAGGCATGTCCCAACAAAACAGTTTTGAGCTGTTGTCATCAAACTTTTAACATACTTTTCCAAGAAAATTACAGCAAGCGTTGTTTAGGGTGAACTAAAAGGGAAGAAGAAAACGTAAGGTGTGAGTTTCAGATTTTTTCCCCACTGAGACAAGAAGGCAAGGATGATTTAGCATTGCGAATATTTACTACTAATTGCAACTCAGTCACAGAAATTTATTTGCTTCAGTGCAACAGAAAGGAGTGCTTTGTGGCAATATGGAATAATTACAAGGATGGTTTTTTTTTCTTTTTTTGTGCCATCTGTAGATGGTAAAAGGTGGGGTATCAGAAACAAGAATTGAGAAGCGCATTGTCATTACTGGAGATGCAGATATTGACCATGATGAGGTGAGTATGTAAGCTGTTAATGCTTACAGTGTGCTTTTTGTAGTCCAGTGAGATCGAGGTGATATTTCAGAAACCTGAAATAAGAGAAAGGTAGAGAAGTTGAATAAGAGGACATGGAAAGACCCTGAGACTGTTAATTGTGGCAAAGTTGTTAAGTGATCATGTTTTGTGAATAAGGAGCCTTTAGAATATAACTGAAAGGAAAACAGCATTTGTAACATTGCATCATAGATCATGTGAATGGATTTCATACTATTTTTAAAGGGATTGCTTTTTTTGGAAGAGACCCAATTTGTTTAGTGCTGCTTTTGCCATTTGGGAGGAAAAGCATTACTAAAATAATCTTATTTTGATGCCTTAATCTGGATAGATGGGAGTCCCTACTGCATTGTGTCAGCAACATCTGAATGCTGCACTCCTTTTTACTGAAAGCTTTGAAATACATTAAAGCATAAAGTGCTCAAATTTAAAAAATAATTTTTGACCTGTATTTATAGAATTCTTTATAACAAAAATAATTGTTGATCTGCTGGAATCTTACAAGTACCTTTCATCTCTATCAGTACCAAAGCAGTATTTTACAGTGTCTTAGAAACTTAAAGTTAAAATCACTTCTACGTACCCAGTTAAGAAGGCTGAATTTAAGCAGTACACAGAAAAATAATTGAGAAAGTGCAATTATCTATTCTTTGTAGTGATGTTTACACAATTTCTTTTGTTTTTCATCTGAGAAGCTATAGTAACAAAGCCAGTCAACAGTCACTGGATAATACAAATGGAAAAGCCTACCTTCTACATAAAGTTGCAGTGAATCCAATTCTAACTTTATGAAAGCTACACAAATCACCATAACAGGATTTAATTTAAAGAGCTCTTGGGGAATTTAATTTCACATTTTGATCTGCCTCCAGAAAGTGGCTTTTGACAGGTTGAATCTCTTCTTGAAACTTGTAATTAAATGACAGGGCTGTTCAGTATCAGGCATGGCTCTTGTTTGCCTTGACCACACGTTCAGTTCACTTCAGATGTCTGGAAAGGTCACACAATACCTTTAGCATACCAGACAATGCTTTAGTAAAACCATTCTCTAAGCCATTCTTTGTTTTGAGATAAGTGGGTAATGAAGTAAAAGTGAAATTATAAAAAAGGAAGTACAAAATATGTTTTTAATCACTGAAGTTTAAAGCAGCAGTGAGCAGCTTTTAACAGATTTAAGAAATCTCTACCACTTTTTCTTCAGTAGATATGGAGCTCTTTAGATGCACAAACTACATGCTGGATGTTTATTCTTTTGTCTTTTAGCTCCCTACATCACTAAAACAGTTTTCAGTAGGAAAATAATATTTTAATTTGGAGTTTCAGAATACAAATGCTTGTATTACTTGTAATTTAACAGAGTCTTAAGGTTTTTTCATTGCTTATGGTTTGATTATAAACACTGATTCTTAAATCTCAATAGCCACTTTCTTTTAAATCCTCATTTGTACTGTAGAGATTACACTTATGAAAGACAAACTAATAAAAAATTGTTAGGATTGATACATCAGCAAACATCAGTATTGTACCAATGCACACTGTGTTTTTCTGTACATATTTCCTTAACAGGACTTCAAATTCATTATCATATAATAGTTAAGGTGGCTAATGTTGGTGTTTCCAATCTCTCTTCAGAGTTAGTTATGTCTTCTCCCACTTACCACCTATGGCTCAGGAGAATGTCACTTTTCTAAATTAAGATAAACCTTTTTGTTGCATTATATTTTTTTTTTTGCTCCTTCTAGTGTATTTGGGTTTTTTTAGTTGTGGTTGATACTAAGGTGAACAGTGAGCTTACTGTTGCCTCAGAATGCCTTCCAGTTTCTTCTTTTTTTTCTTGTGTTGGGTTCCAACAGTAATACAGCTCACTGAAATAAGATTCAGCTGAGGGGAAGGAATAGAAGGTCCCAGGTGCTCTTTTGCCCCTTCTGCCTCAGAGAGTGCTCTTATGTGGGTGACTGCAAAGCCTTGTGTAGAATAGAATAGAATAGAAATTTCAGTCAGAAGGGACCTACAATAATGATCTAGTCCAACTGCCAGCTGTGTGTATATCTCTTAAGAAGATAAGATTTCTTAAATTGTGGAGGAGGGATTATAAGCAACTGAGTAATACTTACATTTACGCTTCCCCGAGTTAAACTAGAGAAAAGTTCTCTTAAACTAGTAAAAGGAGAAAAAGGAGATTCTCCTTTCTGAGAAAGAAATTTCTGTTATGATCTTCTTCCAGAGTTTCAGTACCATACTTAGTACACATTCCAAAGTATCTTTCCATTTTGTTCAGGAAACTGAAGGGAACTCTTACTTTTCTGTACTGTGTACATTTTGTTAAGTCTTTATTTGCTAGATCTGTTGCAGAAGTTCGAAAACTTCTGGGGTATAAGAATACTTTTTGTCTCCTGGAATGAGCTAGAAATGTTACAGGATAACTTTATGGTTATTTGTTACTTCCTGGAAATTTTGATAAATTTTTAGCATAGTGGGGTTTGGGGGTTTTTTTTGTTTGGGTTTTGCTTTTTGGGGGTTGGTTGGTGTCGTGGTTTAGCCAGGACAGTTGGTTTTGGGTTTTGGTTGGGTTTTTGTTTTTTTTTTTTTTTTTACCCCTGAGCCCTCTCAAGTTCAGGAATTTAGAGTTCTGAACAATTATAACCAAAATTTCCGATGCTACTCTCCCATTCTCTGGCCCCACATGAATGTCCTTTTGCTGTTGTTGCGTTACATGTTTTGAATACATTTGCAGGCCCTGGCACAGGCAATCAGAGAAGCCAAAGAACAGCACCCTGACATGTCTGTCACAAGAGTGGTAGTGCACAAAGAAACTGAACTTGCTGAGGAAGATGAAGAGTAAAATAAAAAATGCCCTCAAGCAAATACTTCAGGTAAGCTTATGTATATAATTAACATAGTAAAATGTAGCATCAGTTTTCTGTTGCGTTCTGTAAGAAAAGGCTTGAAAAATATGGGACATCTTTGATATGTGCTATCACAAAATGGTGAGTTGAAACAGGTGCTAATAGTAGACTGTTAGGGTAAGAATTTTTATCCTGAGTCCAACCTGACATTAATTGCAAATTTTCCTGTGTATGTCTCCCTGTTTTGTCACAGTACTCTCATGGCATTTCCTACGATGTTTGGTCAAGTTGTTATAGTTCATATTGAAGTGAGTTTGGGCTATTTCTGTAGAATGTGAAGGATGTGTCACATTGTTCTGTTTACCTGTACAATTACAGTCCTTGCCTTACATCTTGCTTGTTTAGTGGAAAGGCTATGCGCAGTTCCCAGTAGTGAAAGGGCACACTCGGGACATTTTAATTTAGTCAGCTAATTCTTAATCCTAAGCACACTGAAATAAATATTTGACCTTTTATCATTTCCTCAGGCAAGGAGGTAAAATGCATTGCAAAGTCAAGTTTTAAAGCCTCTTATCAGTCAAAAGAGGTATTTGAAGGAATGTCAGTTTATTAGGCCCTCATTTCTAGGAATAAAAAAAAGAAAACCAAAAAAATCCCTGCTCCACTTGATGTATTCAATAGAAAGATCAGAATGAACACTGAATAAATCTGCTGTTGCACTGGTTATAGGCAACTCCAGAAGGGCTTGGAAAAATCCACATCATTTTTGAATGAGCTATTAGTTTGTAGCAAGGAGAGAATGCCTGTGGTTTAGGTAATTTCACTTGTCCCTTGGTACACAGCAACATTAAACATGCATGCTCAAAGCATCCTTCTCGTATTTTCAGCATTTACATAGCAGCGTCTAAGGTAGAAATATACACTGAGACCGCAAAACAGATCTGATTTGCAAGGATTTGCTATTATATTATGTGCTACCATCACATTTCTCATTTTTTATTAATCAGTGTGAATTTAAAGGTCTTGGGAGCAGGGATTGCCTCTTCTGTTACATTTGAGCAGAATGTGCCAGTTTCTTCATGCTACCTTAATCCAAACAAGTATCTTTCAAAGCAGTGCTCAACATAATCTATCCCATATAAGTAATTACAACATCTTTCTTGAAGGGACTGTGTCATGGGAGGAAGAAGCAATCTTGGCAGGTTTGCACCACATTTCTACATCGGTGACTAACTGCAAAGTTGATTCCGTTCCTTCATCAAATATTTAACTACTTTGTAAAAATTTTATTCAGGAAAAAATATTCAAAGAATTCCTTCCATCTGCTGAGGGTATTTTTTTGCTTTTTTGAGAAATACTTACACTGCAAACACCATTCCACAATGTATCAGAGAGTGTCGGATGTTCTTGTCTGAGTTTGCCAGTTGCTTTACAGCTCTTGGTCTGAAATGCTTGTGAGAGAGTAAAAGAGGACTAATATGAAGACATTTCACCATGCTGCTCTTGTATTTGAGACCTGGTGAATTGTTTGACTGATGATGCCTTTCAGTTAAACATTAAGGAAAACATTTAGTTGTCTAAACACAGGCCACCTGAAGTGCCTTGAATATCTATCTGTCTGCAGCTTGGATCGTCAAGAGACCTATGCCCTCCTGTAGCAGCAACTGAAGGGCAGGTGGGACTGCAGAAACGGCTCTAGACAATTGTATTTAGGCAATGGGGTCATGCCACGAATCTTACTTAGTTGTTCCTAAGGTGATGAAAGCTCTGCCCCAATGACTATGACGGTATTGTTTGTGTAGACCTGTTTAATAAAAGTGAAAGATATTACACACTGATTCCAAGGGATTTATTAATTGAACAAATATCTTCATTTTTTATTTATGCACTAGATTGTGGATTAAAATTTTCAGTAAATTGTGCAAGAGATGACTATTAAAACACCATGAGAATTTTGGGGAGGAAAAAATACACTAAAGCAAGAAAAACATTGATAGAAACTGAATTACTGTTTACCTCATGATTGAAGGGGGCTTTAGTTAATGCAACATTTTTTAATGAAATAACCTTCCCCCAAAATAACCTATATCGGAAAAATGATGATGACTGTGATGATGTGACATTCACATAGTATCCGTTATGAATGCTTATGTCTTCCCCCTCCTTTTTCTTTCAGAAGTACAAATGATACTGACCGTGATCATCACCATGAAGAAGCGTAATCATTCCAAGTCATCTCTACTCCACCAAATTCACCAAGCCTAGTAATGATGACCAGATGTTCAAGACTTAAATGTCAATACCAAACTCCGTTTTAACATCTTTGGTCTATATTCCCTTACAATCTTTCTTGTTTATTTTTTATAACCACTTCTTAACAATCTTAGATTTTTTTAAACAAAGTTTTAGAGGGTATGATCTTCTTTTGCACAAATACTTGTATTTTTGAAGGTGATTCTTAATTACATGAAAGTGGACAAAAAAGAAGTCTGGAAAGCATTGTTCACTGGAGCAGGTGGTAGTTGTGCAAGAAGGGGGATCTTAACTAATTTAGATATAGCTTTTTCCAAATATTTCAAATGAAATCTCCTACTGGAGTAATTTACAGATTTTTTTTTTTTTTTGCAGATTATTCAGGTAAATATATGGTATCACATTAACAAAGATTTTTATAAAAATACAGCATTTCCTAAAATTTGAAAAAATATATTTCTTTGGATAAATTTTATACTGATATCTCTGTAACTCTTTCTGTTCTAAGGTTCTCCTCTCTGTGGAGCAGAGATGGTATGGCAGTCTGTAGAGGAGAAGGAGTTGCAAACACATTTCTTCTGACTGAGCACTGTGTTCTTTTTGCACTTTGGTGCCAATGCTCAACTTTTTGCAGGCGTTTTGCTGTCTGCAGCATTCCAGATAAGGAAAGAAGGAAGAACTAAGTATCTTTCTCTTCTTCCAACAAGAGATGATCTAGGCAGCTTAAAACCTTAGTGCTTTTTTTCTTACTGTGTCCAAACTTCAACACTTCCATTATTTGAATACATGTGTAGAATGCTTGCTTTCTATTAAACCTTACTGTCTCCATGTTACAACTGACATTTTTGTTATTGAGAAGGTATACCTTTCAGATGCTTCATCTAACAGCTAATGCAGGTTTTTAGGATACTGAGTAAAAGTGTACGATGGACTTCATTCATTAAGTAATAAGACAGTACCATCATTTGAGACTGCCATTGAGAAAGCCTGTTAATTATTTTGGATTTTATTTTTATTTTGTTCTTGCAGGGGGGTTGGTTGTTTGGGGGTTTTTTTTTGGCTGTTCACTCTGTGTATAGTTAAAATGCCAAATTAGATTTATAGCAGCTTGAAGTTGTATTAAGTGATATTTTGCTTTCTGTAATTCTGTTATAAAATAAAGTTGTTTATTCTCTGTATGACTTTTGGCACTCAGATATAAACTTGGAAGTGAGCAAGTCAGTTATGAGAACTGCAGTACTAGAGGCCACAGAACCTGGAAAAGCAGGCATTAGTACAAGTGGTCTCCAGGGTTACCAGAAGGATGGCATTGTCTGGCTCCTAATACTGATTCTAAAGTATCAGTGTTTTTTAGACATCTTCTAGTAAGCATCCTGGTTTCTGTGCTTCAGAGAAGTAATCTTCAGATGCCAACAAAGATGAGATTTGGACAGCACAGCACAAGTTAAAATGCCCCAGTCTGCAAGTGGTTCTACTGAGTTCATGGAGTTAGGATGTACTATGATCTTCAAGTAACAAAACAAATCGTAAAACTTCCCGGTATGTTCTTTTTCACTTCTGAGCAATGTATTTTTGGTGCTATTCTCAGTTTAGATTGCTGCCATCTGTCAGCATGCTTAGCAGAAATTCCTATTAGTTTTGGTTTCATACAATTTGGGTAACATAAGACAATAGTAACCAAGAGGTTGATTTATATATGCATATAGGCATTCTCAATTATATCCCGCATTACCCTGAAAAATAGCAGATAACATTCTGACCTGCTTTTCTTCAAAAGCAGAGACATTATGCCTTTCAAAAAGAGAAAGAGAACCCCACCCAGCCTAATAACGTAAGAACACTGCCACAACACTGTGCATGCATAGGGAGGTTATCAAGGAAGTGGCAAGTTTGCGATTTGTAAGTGGAGGTCAAAATGGAGATACATGCATTTAAGGGGATGTCTTAATGTATTTTTCTTACAAAAGTGTGTAAGAAAAAGCTTTATAAAATCTTTCAGGTATTTTTGATAAGGTGTAGTATTAGTTGCAGAATTCGTTTCGTGGGCGGAAAGCATATTACTTCAATTCCTTATTGATTTGGATCTTTCTGATTTATTAGACGCTAGATCAATATTGGGTTTTATTGCAATTGTATTTAATCCTTAAAACTGCAAATACAATATTCTTGAAAACTATTACTTTCACTGAGAGCTGTATTTCTTCAAATAGTAATTGGAACCTTTGTCAGGGAAAAATTAATAGTGCTTTCGGGTCAGCATAGCTTGTGCATAGCTATCGCTTCCATTGATTAAGCATCTACTAATTAAACAACCGTTGTCATGCAGAAAAACTTAAGCCATGAGTGTGATCAGTCCTAAAAATAGTCAAGTTTTACAGATTCTGGTTGTATGTAATTACTCAAATGTTCTGGAATATTATGCAAGTCTGATGAGTTTTCATTGTTACTTTTTTCATATAATATATCTGTAGCAAAAACTGCAACATGCAACAAAATAAATTGTTCTTGAGGCACTTCACAAACTGGCTTTATAATACATAGGCAATTTCAATTACAATTACAGGCCCATTTAATGAGAAGATATTTCAGTAATTAATTCTGCTTAAATACTGAGAAAAGTGAGTCATGTGGATCCTACACAAAAATACTTAATATGTCTTTTTAATCATGATCACCTAAGGGTTCATAATAAATGTTGGAATTGTTCTACAGATTGTTTCCTAGATTAAGGTTTCACAAAGGACAAGCAAGCAAGCAACTTTTTTTTTAAAAAAAAAAGATTTATTGCTCAAAGCCATGAGCAACTACGATACAAAGTGTTTCTTGAAGTATTCTTTTATTTGACAACTCAAGCTGAATGGCAACTTTTAGTTCGGCCACAGAAGAAATCAACTAGATGGAATAAAATAAATTAAATACTATGACAGAGGTCAGAGTTTGTGAGATTTGGTAGTGATGAGAATGACAACTAACTGTACCCTTGGCCAGGATGTGGTGGGAGCTTCTCAGCTTTTAGGCATGTTAACTGTGGAAGTGGGCTGCTTGGAGCTGCTGGTGCCCTGCACTGTTGACCTGACTACACCTCTGGAAGGTGTGAAACTGTTTTGATTTTCAGGCTACTCAGTTGTTTGGGTTTTTTATACTGTACTTGAAAAAAGATACTTGGATTAGTAATATTAGTACAAATTACAAGCATTAGAAATGCTGCTAATACTTGTACTGTTAAATTACTCTGTCTGGCGTGAAGCAGATCCTACAAGAGTTTTTGTATGAATGGCTGGACTGGGCCAGGCTAAACAACGAACACTCCCAGATTCCTCCCTGTGAGGCTACTGGTAGTTGCCTTAGGGGTGTGTGTAAGAATAAGTACTGTACTAGTAAGTAGTACATTCCCAAATACTCTTCCAGCTTTCAGCAATTTTCAAAGACTTACTGGTCTACCAGTCTTTCGTATTTATCTGCCTCTGTGGATTTTTGGCTAATTGCTTTTTAAAAAATTCCTCTGGCAGGCATTTTCACCATTCCATGTGGCTTAAGGAAAAAAACCACCTTTCGTTTCTTTTGAACCTGCCTCTGTTAGCTTCATTTGATAGCACCACTTGCAGATACTAGAAAAGACACCCGGAGTCATTCTCTCTTCAGTCAGTCCCCAGCCAAAAGCTATTCCACAATTCTTTATCATTCTTATCACCTTTCTCTGTGCCTTTCCTACTTAAAAGTTGAGACTTCAAATTCTGTTCTGGGAAGTGAATAGGAAGCAATCACAGATAGGCAGGAAGGTTTTAAACATGCCTACTGGCTGTAGATGGAGTGGAATCCTAGCTTCGCATTATTGCTAGTGAGAGGAAGGCAGAGGACTCCTCAGTGATAACAACTGAAGACAAATTATTTCCTTGCAATCACTGTTTTCATATATATTTAGAGAATGCTTTTATAATTTATCTAGACAAAGGCTTAGTTCTATGGTGTTATTTAAATACATATTTTTCTTTTTCAAAGGAATTATGTAAGAGTATTATTATTATTTCATGCTGGTAGCATGAAAACAGATCTTTCTTGATACTAGTCAGTAATGGAACTGAAAATAGCAAGGCCTGAGGATTTTCATGACATGTTACTGAGTCTTGAATGTCAGATCCTCCTACATGTTAGCAATTACAGCTCAATAAGCAGTTGTGTCAAAGGCATCCAGTGTCTTTCTGTTATAATCCTTACCTAATATCTATATAGTATTCTTTTCAGTATCCATACCACTGTTTTACAGTAACATGCTGTTAAAGAGTGATCTCACTTTTCAATATGTTAAATCTCTCTATTCTCAGTCATTTTGTGAAATCAATAAAATCAGTGTAATTATGTTGTGGTAAGTCTTGCTAAACTTCAATTCTGTATCTTAACATTTGGTCCAGGCCAGTCTTTTCTCGAGTGGTGGGGGAATGGGTGTTTGGAATTAGAGGTGGGTGTGTGTGTTAGAATCCTTTAACCTCTAATCCAAGATCACTGCTTTTCTATCGGCAGCATCTTTCTTAAACATAAAAAGTCAATTCTTTGCAGCAGCTGTCTCAATTGCCCTGCAAAGGATTGTATAGATTCTAGTTAATAGAAGAAGAGGAAAGAATGTATTACAGAGAGCATTTAAAGGTTTTCTTGAAAGATATCAATATCACAGAAGTTTATGTACTCAGGTAAACAGTAGTTTCACTGGGGGCTGAAGAATGGACTCTTTCACTTCAAAGCTGCTGGTCTACTTAGAAAGCAAGAATGTGTTATCTAAGGATTATGTACAAAAACAGGAACCATTCCATAGAATGTCCTGCGTGTTGCAAGGACCTATACCAGCTGCTTCTGAGGAAATTGTTGGACAACTAAATACCAAATTATGAAATAACATACCTCTGGAGAGGTACAGAGCAGAGTCATGGCAGGAGGCCAGTAGGTCAGGCTCATTGATTAGGTACCAGGGTTTTTCCAGGTGAGACAGCTGTAAGCAGAGGTGGATCATTAGAATCAAACTTTCAGATCTCTCTCTTCTTCGACACCACGTTATACCTGGCTTTAACTTTTGGATCTCTGCTGGCTGCGGTGTGTTTGACCTTTAACGTTACAGCCTACAGGAGCATTGACACTGAAGAAACTATTACCTGTGTTACCAGGAGAACAGATCTTTTTATGTCTGTTAATAACATCTGTATGAGTTAAGACCACTTTTCTTAAGAATCTTTATGTATTACATCTCAGTCTCTAAATCTCTTTCACATAAATATTCGTAAGTACACTTCTGACACTGCGTAATAACTATCTTGTTATTTTTTCAGTCAACCTTATATACTTTACATAATGACATAGATCTAAGCTTAGGAGCATTAAAAATGAAACAAAGCATCACATTCTTTTCCATCATCACTGCTTTCATGGGGTCATGATGGATCTTTCAATGAGAGCAGTGTTATTTTGTTTGCTTAGTGCCAGCACTTAAAGTACGAGAGTCGAGTTCACTAGAGGCACGAGTAGGCCAATATTAAGACCTTCTGAGACTCTCTGCCTGTACAGTCAAGTCTGGATGTAGCTGGTATAAATAAAGTGTGCACTGCTTTGGACAATGTGGTACTAGGCCTGCCAGGCCGTGTAGAAGTCCAGGTACGAGAGGAGGTCAGACAGCAGGTGCTCCCCAGTGTCCCAAGTAGCTATGAATGTCAGGTCCACTCAACAGCTGGATGATAGGGAGCTGTTTTGTTTTCCTACCTGAGAGCTGCCTTTGGAGTGCTTCTTTCCTTTTGCTCTCTGAAACACATCCTGTTTGTTGCTAGTCGAATGAAATTTCTGGTGTGAAGTTTAAGAACCGAAGGGCTGCATGCTTTGCTCTTACTGGGAAGAACAAGTTTATACAAAGAGTGAAATCAGAAGAAAAGTGTCTTCAGCCTTTTGATTGCAAAATATTGGGAAAACACTTATGGCACGATTGCACGTGGGGCATCTTGAAACACACAGAGAAGCTGTTAGCGGGCACCTGGAGCGAATTGTCAGCTGGAGGTGGGGAGCCCTGCAATTGAACTGCCGATTCCTCTGCCAGCTGACTGAGATAAACTTGGTTTTACTGTCTTTGCTCTTCCAGCTTTTGCTGTGGTTCTCTTACAGGGTTGCTTCCTTTGAAGTCAAAGTCTGTATGTCTATCTTGTAT